GTAGGGAACCGGTTATTAACATTCTGGCAGCTCATCACTGCCTCCATCCATCACAACTTACTGCCCTTGGACTGTAGGATGGGGAAAGGCAGAGGCAGCAAATTGTGATAGGGCAGCAAAAGGGAGAAATTACCTACCAGGAGCTACTAGCAAACAGTGCAGGCAAAGTTACACTGGCAGGGTGAAGAGCAGCAGGTAGCCCTGCAAGGGAAGGGGGGAGAACTGGAGGTTTTTTCCCTACAGCCCAGTGATGGGTTAAGTTGACCCTACAAATAACCAGAGGAAACTGGTGACATAGCACTGAGAACCCCATGACCCGTCCCGAACTAAGGGAGCAGCCCTTACAGCTCAGGCCAGGGCTCGCAGACAGTGAACATGCTGTGGGGAAAAGACATCCAGTGCAATCCATCTCGCTAGGACCCAGGAGGCGCCGGGCGGAGCGATTCCAGGGGTCACTCAGTCTGGCAGCAGGAAGTGAATTGCAGTCCCTGCAGTGACTCTGTTGTGGTGGAACCCACATTCCTTGCAAGACCGCAGGGCCTCGGCTGCTGCCGCTGGGGACCCCAGAGTTCTGGCTGCAGGCGGGGGAGGTTTCCTATCGAGGGAGGAACATTCCTGCTGCTCCCCGAGAGACTCTCCCAGTGCAGAGACCCCAGCCTGTCCCGACCACCCTTACTGGGAACCAAAGCCCTGCTCCTAGGCAGTGCCCCACGTGGAGAGAAGGTGAGACCTGCCCCCGTGCCCCTCCCCACGGAGCGCTGCTCCCTGTTGCAGCCTGTCTGCAGGGACAAGGGGATGCCCCAGGTTGCTCCCAGCTGGGCTGGCTGCGATTCCCTGCATTGGGCAGAGAAAAGGTGGCTGTAGGGCGTGTGAGGGATTGGGGCTAGGACAGCAACATCTCGGGAGCTGGCGGGATGTGGGAGCCGGAAGGGGGCTCTGAGAGCCAAAGGGCATTGAGGGGTGAACAGGGGTGTGTGTGAGGGGACAGGAGGGGGGTGAACAGGGATGCGGGAGGGGATGTGGGGCTGCTGAAGGGAGGCTGAGGGAATACCCAGGAACCAGGGGGCCGGGGGAGAATTCTGGGGCTCAGGGGAACAGAGCTGGAATAGAGGGAAACTGAGAGTGGGGGGAGAAAGAGAAGGAAAAGGGGGGATGTGGGGAGAAGGGCTGTGGGGAAGCTGGAGGGAGAATATGAGAGCAAGTGGAGACTGACTGGGGAAGGGAGAGCCAGAGGGTAGGAGAAGGGAAGGGGATGGTGAGAGATAGGAATCTTTTCCCCTAGAAAAGGTCAAACAAGCATTGGGCGTGGATGAGCCTGGAACTTACCCCAAGGGCTCAGAATTTACAAGGCAAATATCCAGTCCCCCCCACACCCTGCTCACAATATATTACTTAAGACAATCTCATTATTTTGGGGGTCTGATTCCTGAATGTTAAATGTTTGGGGTTGACAGGACTGAACAGGGTCCTGTTCTCATTGCTGTGCAGGATTCTGTGTCAAACCAGAGTCACTGAGAGCAACAGCAGGCAAGGAGTCCAACTTCTATTTATTTTGTTGTTGTTTTTTCTTTTCAGTTCAGGTTCAGTCAGTAAAACAAAATTATGGTTCAGGTTTGGTTCCAGTTCAAGTAAAAAATACCGGTTTGAACTGGGTTTCCGATTCCAGTAGGAGTCCAGATGGGCAAATGAGATCAGCATCGGCCTGGCTGTCCCTGGGGGCTGCAGGGGCAGCACAGGGAGGCTCGGTCATTAGCTGCCCCCACCAGAGGGCTCTGGTAATTGCTAAGGCAGAGGAGGCCAGTGTCAATCTCTCTCTGTGCTCAGCATACTGCAACCCTAGAGCTAGCTGGGCTTTCTGGGGTAGATGCTGCTGCCTCTGTTGTGAACTGGGAGCCTGGGCTGAGCAACTGCTGCTGCCCAGTGGGATCTGTGCTGGGACAGACCATCACTAACGCCCCCTCTATGCCCAGCTGAGGGGGGACTTTCTCCTGTGACTGTCATCAGTGCTCTAGGTCAGCCCCGGGCTGTGCCGCCAACAGCTCCTGAGCCGGAGACTCCAGGTGATGATAGAGAACTTGGAGAAAGTGCTGGGGATGGACAGGAAACTGACTCTGCACAAACGGCTCCTCCTCACCCCATCTCTGCTCCCCATGTGTCTGTGAGTCCCAGAGCAGCTGCCCCAGGCACACCCAGGCTCACACCCCTGTTAGCAGTGGCAGTAGCTATTGGAGAGGAAACACCCACAGGAATGGCAGGACAGTAACCAGCTCTTCCATGCAGAAGGGAGAGTGAAGAGACTGAGTGGGGCAGCAGGAGCAATAAGTGGGGAGGAAGGTTCCCGGCTCCCAGCCCTGCCCAGCTCCATTCCCTGCAGCACCCCGGGGCAGATTGACTTTCCTGGGACAATTTGAGGAGCAGAGAGAGAAAAAGCCATTTCCTGCCTCTGCCTAGTCCCCGTGCTTCTGGGGGAATGTGCTGCCTTGGGGACAGTGTTGGGGGAAAGTGGCTCCTTTGATTCTGCTCTTTTCTAGAGTTTAGCTCAGAGACTCTGTTACTTGGAGGGTTTAAAAATGTCTCATGTGTTTAGTCCCAGTGGGAGGGGTCAGATCTGTGTTGTAATAAGGTAACTGAGGGTTTTCCCAGCATGGCAGAGTCTAGAGTGTCTGTCTGCAGGGCAAGACCCTGGGGGGAGGGATAGTTCAGTTTGAGCATTGGCCTGCTAAACCCAAGGTTGTGAGTTCAATCCTTGAGGGGGCCATTTAGGGATCTGAGGCAAAAATTTGGGGATTGGTCCTGCTTTGAGCAGGGGGTTGGACTAGATGACCTCCTGAGATCCCTTCTAACCCTGATATTCTATTAATCGGGTGTGAAACGGACTAACACTAATTCAAAAACCTCCACAATTGCCCTTTTCACCCTGACAGGCTGCAGAATAAGGACCACATTTTCCTCCAGATCATCCCATCTACCTAGGGGCTAGGGAAGGGAAATGGCTGTGGTGGATCCAACTCAGGTAGGGGATGTTTGTGGGAGCTGCTGGGGAAGGTTGTTGTAGCGGAGGGAAGGGCAGGAAATACACAGAGTGAGCCAGGGACTGAGACAGGCTATGTTAAACATGCTAGGACATGCTCAGCCTAAGGGCCGATTTATGAAAAGGCCCATTGGTGCCGGGGCGGGGGGTGAACATTCCCTCATGCTGGAGCCTGAACCCACTGGCCAGAGACTGTGGTGAAATACAAAGGGAAGGTGCTGGGATTCCTGTCCCTGTTCCCTGCGTGGAGCTCTGCTTCCCATAGCAGCCTGTGCCTAGTAGGTGTGTGGTAAATGAGAAGACACTGCCCTCCTCCATCTGTTGGGAGGGACAAGGAGCTCTTACATTCTCTCTGTTCCCTGGAGCCTCCTGGCCACTCTTAGCAGGGTGGGGGTGGGATTCTGCTCCTCTGGCTCACCCAGAGCTGTCCTATTTTTATGCTTCTTCCCCCACGAATAGTGGGATTGTGGCTGGGGCAGCAGACACTGAGTGGGGAGCACCTGTTGTTTCAGATGCCGGTGACCTTCGAGGATGTGGCTGTGTATTTCACCGAGGGGCAGGGGGCTCTGCTGGATCCCGGTCAAAGAGCCCTCTACAGGGACGTCATGCAGGAGAATTATGAGACTGTGACCTCGCTGGGTAGGGATTTCTTTCCCCTAGGCTATTTGAAGTCCAGGGGCCGTGTATTTCTGAATCTGGTCAGGTTCTTCCCTGGTCAGTGAGATTAGAGGGGAATGGGTGACATAGTCCACGTGTGAGAGAGCCATTCACCTCCATACCCCCTCCAACAGGATAGGGAAGTCATGAACCTAAAGGACATGCTAATTAATTCCCATCCCTCCAGCTGTCACGGGGGGCAGAAGCAGTGTATTATGCTATCTGCATTAATACTCACTCACACACAAGATCTCTGTGCACCTCCCTTCATGCAATTAACTATGTGTGGGGAGGGCTCTGGTCTCTGTGGGTTCAGACATAGGCAGGGGTTTAACATCAGAGCTATGTGTGCCTCAGAAAGTCCCCCAGAGCACAGAGATCCTGAAAACTCCTAGTGAGTGTGTGACACCTCCCCCCTCTCCCCCCCGCCAAGATATTGGCCTCTCCCAAGGGGACTCAGTGACCATGTTCCCATCCCATAACCCCCAAGAAAGTCATGGGTTGAGTTTAAACGCAAGATGTGCCCGTTGTGAGAAATACTGCCCCAGTCTTCAGTACACTCTGATCATGCCTGATTCACCCCCTGAGCAGGACTCCCCATTACCAAACCTGACCTGATTGCTCGGCTGGAAGGAGGGGAAGAGCCGTGGGTCCCGGATCTCCAAGCCTCCGAGGAAAGGAAGATCCCAAGAGGCAGCCGCACAGGTGAGGAGCCAGTGACACTGACACAGAAACTATATAGCAAATGAAGGGAAAAGTTTAAAATCCATAAAATGTGGTGTGAGCCCCCTCAGTTCTGCCTCATCTCACCCAAGTCAGGCTGTGGTCAGCAGGTGTCATGTCATCATGGCAGATATTGCTCATGGCTTCACACCCACCCTGTTTGCTGTCAGGAGTTTTCTCCTCATCTTCACTTCCCTGTGAGTGCTTGGATGGGTTGTGGAGGCAGAATCCAATTTCTCATTCTTCCAATGGTTATTGAGTTGTTTTTTCCCTTTTTGCAATTCCCCTTTCTGCCAGCCCAGGCAATGACTCCTGCCTGGATTCTCTCTCTCTTTCAGTAGGTGATGAGACAATGAGTGAGAACGAGGAGGGGAATCCACAGCAGGAAGATCCTGAGCAAGTGGAACTGCAGGTGACCTTTCTGAGAAGAGTAGATGGGAATTTTTCCCAGTGCTTGGAACAGAGAAAAGGCTGGAGTAATTGGCGCAGGTCAGAGAGGAAGCTGGGAAACTGCCGAAGGAAGAAAGTGGATGAATCAATTGAATGTGGAGGAGGAGGCGGCAAGGATCCCAAAGAAACCACAGCCCAGCAGACAAGTCACAAGGAAAAGAAGCCCTATAAATGCTTGGACTGTGGGAAAAGTTTCCATTATCCCTCAGTCCTTATTAACCACAAGATAATCCACACTGGAGACAGACTTTATAAATGCCTTGAGTGTGGGAAAAGCTACAGTCAGCGCTCAGCCCTTATTACCCATGGGAGAATCCATACGGGGGAGAGACCCTATAAATGCTTGGACTGTGGGAAAAATTTCAGTGTGAGCTCACATCTTATTACCCATCGGAGGGTACACACAGGAGAGAGACCGTATAAATGCCTTGAGTGTGGGAAAAGCTTCAGTCGGAGCTCACATCTTATTACACATCAGAGACTGCACACGGGAGAGAGACCATATAAATGCTTGGACTGTGGGAAAAGCTTCAGTCAGCAGTCAGTCCTTATTAACCATGGGAGAATCCACACTGGGGAGAGACCCTATAAATGCTTGGACTGTGGGAAGAGCTTCAGTCAGAGCTCACATCTTATTACTCATCAGAGAGTGCACACGGGAGAGAGACCGTATAAATGCTTTGAGTGTGGGAAAAGCTTCAATCATAGCTCCCATCTTATTAAACATCGGAGAGTGCACACGGGAGAGAGACCATATAAATGCCTTGAATGTCAGAAAAGCTTCAGTGACAAATCAAAACTCATTACACATCAGAGAATCCACACGGGAGAGAAACCGCATAAATGCTTGGATGATGGGAAACGTTTCAGTTCCAGTTCATATCTTCCTAAACATTGGAGAATCCACATGGGACAGAATCTATAAATGTCTTGACAGTGGAAAAGGTTTCATTCAAAGATCAAACCTTGCTTCACATCAGACAAACCACACAATGGAGAGAACCCATAAATGCTTGGATTGTGGGAAAAGCTTCAATAACTACAGGAAAAGATACAGTCTGAGCTCACCCATGACTCCTCATCAGGCAATTCACACAAGAAAGAGCTTAAATGTGGGGGAATCTTCATTTGTTGCTTGCGTGGCATTAAGCATCAGCAAATCCACACAGGGAAGAGCCTCTCACATGTCCTTAGCATGGAAAATGCTTCAATTGGTGCTAATACCACATTGGACATCAGAGACTCCTCCACAGAGGAGAGAAATTTTCTGTACCCTGACTAGGGCTAGCCATAGTAAAAACTCCATTTCCTAATTCACACACACAGCAGTGGCATTTGGCTCCCAGGTATCCATCTGCCCAACTCTGGGGACAGGTTCCAGTAGCAGCTGACCCTGAGTTGATCAGTGACTGAGTAGATCAGGCTTTGCTTGGTCTAAGCTGACCCCAGGCAAAGGTGGAGAAGTCCCGATCAGTCCCTCCTCCCTGCTGCAGCCCTGGCTGCTGAACTGATGGGCCTTCCTGCCTCCTGCTAACCTGCTGCGGGATGGGGAAGAGAATTTCCTTCAGAAGCTCTCTCTGCCTGGAGTTCCACCCTCTCCAGTTCCTTCCCAGACATGATGCCCCTTCCATGGAAAGGGATACTTGGGCCAGGACCCACATTTACTCTGGACACCTGTCCCCATCTTCCAGCTGCCCCTGGGCTAGGTTCCCCCACTTACCCGGAGCTGGTCCATGCAGGGCGAGTGTTTCTGGGGCTGGCAAATTGTTCATTCCCTAAATCCTCTGAGGTGCTGTATTACAGGGGATCAAATGTGAAGGGACCAGGAGGGATGGGTTATGGGGTGGAAACTGGGGGATTGAACGGTTGGGTCTGGTGGATGTGGGATGCAGAGGGTGCTGGGGAAATCAAGTTTTAGGGATCATGGGATAAGAGAGGAGAGTACAGGGAAGAGAGGTACTGCCTCTTATCACTCACCCCGTCTGCCCCTTTTCCCTGCCCCCTCTGCATTCAGAAAGCACCACTAAGAGGGACTGATTTCCACACAGTCTTTTGTGGGAGGTGTAAAGGCCCCGGGATCCCACCTCTGCCTGCACAGCATCAGCTTCCAAGGGTCTGTCTGTGGTGGGAAAAGTGGTTGGGATTAGCTAGCAAATCTCCCCTGACCCTCCCCCACTTTTCCTAGTCTAGACTGACCCCAACCATCTTATATATTCTGATTCCCCCCATTAGCAGAGTGATTGTTAGAGTCACTGAGTTCCCCCTTTGGGGAGAGATTGTCTCATTCCCACATAGTCTCACATTGCTCCAGGTTATGCCAAAAACATTTATTTTTTTGTACACTGACTCCCTTTGAGACCAGATTTAAATAGATTTTAAAAGTCCTGGAGCAGGGTTAGGAAAATGTGGTGTTGGGTTTTGTGTTATTTGAGGATGATGGGGTGAGTTGGAGGGATTCCCCCCTCCCCCCTTCATTGTCATGCTCCACCCCAACACAGCAACCTGTGTCCGAGCCTTGGAGAGTTTATCGTCTCCCCATTCTACCCTCCACCTCCCAGCGTGGCACTTGCCACAATGTTCTTTACTCTCCATGCTTTGGAATCACACTTTGATTTTTTTGATCCTGACTCAGACTCCTGAGGGCTAGAGATGAAAGTGTCCCAGACCTGGAGCTGATATTCAAATGAATCCCAAAGCTCTGTTTGAGCTTTCTGAGCTTAAATCACTATTTCCATCTATTGATAAAGTGGCTTCTGGGCTTTTTCTAGCCAAGCCCAGAACATTTGGAGATGGGCAGATTTTAGCTTTAGTTTGTTTTTGTTTCTTTTTTGCATTAGGACAGTGCTGAAACTTTTGTAAACAACACAACCAAATAATGAGGAGGTGCTGAGTACAGCAGGTTTAGCCAGTTCAGAGGAAAATGGATACATTTGTTTCCCTTCTTTTGGGAGTTATGATTTTGTGGAATTTCACTTTATGAACCTGCAAGTGTTTTGTAGCCCACCTTTCAGTGTTGGTTTTTCTCTCTTCTGAAGGCTGTTTGGTCACATAGTTTGATATCAGTTTAGTTTAACAGGATGTAGCACAGTTTTATTGAGGACTTTACGAGACAAATGATCATTTGCCGGAAGAGTCCTTTTTAATTTTATTTTAACCTTTCTTTACCCTTTCTCAGGAGATTTTTGTGTGTTTGAATAATAATAATTATCACTATCTCTCAGCACAAACACTGAGGGGGAGTGCTAGATTCACACTCGGAGAGGCCGAGACTGAACGGGAAACGGAGTTACTTTCTGATCCCTGCAGAGATGTGAGATGCAGTCAGGAGGGGGAGAGGGTGGGGAAATAGAGCTGGGAAACTGCAGACTTTTCTCTTGAGAGCCAGAGAGCTGATGCTAAGAACTGTGAACTTGCTGCACCTGAAGGACATAAATCCACACCGTGTAGAGGTCAAAGCATAGGGGTTTATTACACACAGCGCTGGCGGAGTGTCACCTGGCTTATTAGGCTCAGAGACACTGTCAATCAATTCATTACAATGGAATATATAGATTTTCCATGGGCGGGGGAAAGTGACGGGGTAGGCAGTTCCACACCCCGGGATAGGTTTTGCAGCAAGACAAGATAGCACAGTAGCCAATGGTTAAAAGGTTACATAATGTCTCCGCCCATGGTCTCAAGTTAGCAAGTTAACATTTAATTAATACTTTGATCAAATGTTATTAGTATAAAATATATATGTTGAATTCTGATTTGGGGTCCATAGAAATGGAGCAACTCCTTTGATTGTCCAACAGATACATTCCTAGGCGTTAAAGCAAAGAAACAGTGAAAGCATATGGAAATAGAGATTGTCTCCTTTATGTCTTGAGGCAGGGCATTGGTCCCTTGGAAGGGAGGTGGAAGGATGCCATATCATTATAGTGACGTGCCAATTTTCATAAACTCAAGGTTGGATCTGTGGGAAGACTGTTTTTCCTTCAGGAGAAACACAATAGGAACGGGGATCCTTTGTTCAATTTGAAACATTGGATGAAACATAATTATTCAGTTATTGCTTCCACATCTGGCATTTCTACTGACCAAGCATATCTTAGCAAAGGCAATGTTATCTTGTTTACCCCAGCTTTCTCTTAGCTGATCACTATTAGCTAGGCCTCTGGTCTCTTAACCAAACTTTGGACTTTGGGTCTGGAAAAGAGTTGGCACAATTTATATACCAGGTTGTTATATAAAATGCACATGGATTTTAACCCTTCAACACCAATGCCAGAGAGAGACAGGAATTGCCCTGCGAGTGCTAGGTGAAGCCATCCCTGAAATCTAAAGGGCTACAAATGATGCCCCAAGAGGAATGATGAGGGGACAGCGTCACCCGATTACTGAGAGGACGAGCCTGGGCAGAGACAAGAAGGAAGCTGGGGAAGCCAACATGTCTGAGCCTGCCTTGAAGCCAGACTGACCCCCATTATAGAGGCCAGAGGGAGATGAGGAGCCTGACAGCCCAGCTGGTCATCCCCTCTCCATCTACCAGTGTCCTGCATGGGGACAACAGAGACTGTTGGCCCCACTCACCCCACACTGCATCCATCCAACCTCAGCTTCTTGGATTCCCTCCTCTCAGAGTGTTTGCTCTGTGACTGGGTCCCAGCATCTCTCCTGGATTCTCTGCACTTTTCTACCAGTTTGTAAATGTTGCTCGGTTGCTTGTGCTTCAGGGATTTGGGCGCAGCAATGTGCTGGACTGGGGATGTAAAGTACCATGCTGAGCTGGGCTGAGGGGTGGGGAAAGGAGTCTGTCTTTGTTTGTCCTTTGGAATAATAAAGTAGAATTTAGTTTCTCACACTCCCAAGTGTAGTTTGTCTTGCATTAAATACCCAGCAGATTCAGAGTGGAGATTAACAGTAAAAGCAATGCTAACATGGTCTGGTATGGAAATGCACAGTGAGGTCACGCATAGAACCTCACCTCTGCCTTGTCATAGCCTCAACTGCAGCTGGTATACTCACACATTCACACATTTTATATATATAATATGGCTAAAGTGATTTTAATCTCAGTGTTGGGTTTCAGCCCAAGACCCCGCGTCTCTCAACCTTTCTACCTGCCTAATTCTAACTCAGACCCATTTAAATCAATGGGGACAATAGTAAAATTAAATATGTGAATAAGGTTTTGCAGGGCTGGGAGTTTAGATTGGTAGGTTTGGGAGTCTCTCTCTGTTGATACTTGACCTGTTCCTCATACCACAACTTTCCCCAAATTCATTCTTGTCTGGCTACAAAATAATTGTATCTCAGTTAATACCATGATTATTTGTAATACACATTAGACCAAGGCCGTACTGTGCTAGGTGCTGTATATACACATCATGGGAGGCAGCTCCTCAGGGAAAGAGTTTACAGTCTCAGTATGCAGAACAGCCAACGTAATGGTTTTGTAAATGGCAGGAGTCACCCGGAAATCTAAAGGGCTACGAGTGACGCCCCAAGAAGAATGATGAGGGGAGAGGGCAGCACCTCCCGAATGCTGAGAGAACAGGGCTCTGCACTTCAAGCAGGTACAGTATTCACCTTCTGTTATGTGTGAAAAACAGGTTGTTCTTGCCCAGAATTACAGCACTTACTCCTAGAGTGCAGAACACATTTTCTGAGAAAAGTCAATCTGTTACTGGCTTTAGCAATAATCATTAACAATGGCACCGACTGTCAGAGCCCGCCATGTAGAGATACCATTGAAAGCCCCATACTATTCTGATTAAGGTATTTTAGTGCTTGTGGGCCCAGATTATATTCAACTGATTTTTAAATCATTAAATTAGATTACCCATTAGATTTTGGGTAAGTTTTTCAAAAGTATCTTTTCCAAAATGACGTAAGGCTGGGCTTTTAAAGGAATTAGGCACCTCAGGATGCAGATAGGGGCCTAGTGGGATTCTCAAAGCAGGCTAGGCACCAGGGGCTAGAGCCACAAACAGATTTGGGTGCTCAGCTACTACTTTCACTTTAGGTACCTGAAGCTGACATTTAGATGCCACCAATCCTCAACCGCTCCCCATTCAGCTGTTGCCTAACTCTGAAGGTGTCTAAAGATCCTGTGTACCTAAATTTCTGTCATTTAAATTCCCCAAGTGCCTACAAATCTGGTACTGGGCATGTTCCCAGCTGCCTCAGGCTAGGCGCACAGATCCCTATTTCATACCTAAGCCCCAGCATGCTCCTCATACTAGGTTTTCCCTGGCCTATCTCACATGTGGCTGCCCCACAGGCCATTCAGGTTTGTCCCAGGCCTGTGCCCCATTTCGGGGGGGGTGGTCAAATTTGGTGTTGCAACCCACATGGCACAATGCCACTGGCTCAATTTTGGCCACAGAGCCTCCCCTTCCTTCCCCTGGTCATAACCACAGTGGGACATTCAAGCCCATCCAGAGTGCGCAGAGCACCAGCCCTGGAACCAGACCAGCTGGTATTTCACTGCCAACATCCAGGCGCAGCATGGGGAGCTGCTGTCAGTGCCCACATGGGGGAGCCAGTCAGGAGAGGGGCAGGGGGCACATGAGGGGGTTTTGCCTACAGCCCAGTGATGGGTTAATCCGGCCCTACGAATAAGCAGAGGAACCTGATGGCAAAGCACTGACAGCTACATGGCCCGAGATAGGGGAGCAGAGCTCTGGCCCAGGATTAAGTAGCCAGTAAGCCTGGTGTGGAGACAAGAGACCATCTCTGACAATCTGCTCCCTGTACCTGTCTGTTACCAGAGTGAATCACACACAGAGTCAGTGTCACTGAGAAACTTGTCCCTTGTCACTTATCTAGGACTAGGACCCATCACCCCCATGTCCCAGTGCAGCCGCCCACTTCAGTCCCCAGCAGCAGCCATAGAGCCACTGCCACCTGCGCCATGTGCAGCGAGAGAAGCCCAGGCACCCCAGCCCCTTTGGGGCCTGGCCCAGTGCACACCCCACATCCACAGGAGAGACCCCTGCTGCCGAGCACACGCTTCACCCAGGGGAGGACAGGGCAGCGGCAGAGGCGACAAGCCAGCCTGGGCTGAGGGAGCAGGTCTGACCCCCAAAATATGCCCCCAAGCCCCCCAATCACATTGTGCCTATCCAAAAACATCCACACATGCCCCTCCATTACCACCCACCAGGACCCAGCCCTCCATACACCCCCACGGCACATCCAGCCACATCTATACACTCCCAATTCACATCCACCAGAACCCAGAGCTCTAAATAGACCTATTACCTCCCCCACACCCACCCTCTATGTAGCCCCCATTCCCTACGAGAACCCCAGTTCCATTCATACCCCG